TGATTAGACTACTGAGCTATCTCCCCAGCCCCAAATTAATAAATATTGAACGACTTCAAAATCTTATAGGTCTCTCTGGTATAAGAGCCCAGTTGTAGTTTGTTCAAGCACTTGATTAGATTTGGTAACAGCTCCGCTGAACACACTTGGAAACTGCTATGTTCTGAGTGTTTATGTCTCCCCAAAATTCATGAAAATGTCCTCAAGATAAAGAGTATTAAGGGGGGCACCTTCAAGGAGTGATTTAGTTTGTGTGGGCTGAAACTTTAAGAATGGAATTTGTGCCTAGAAAAACAAGGTCAAAAGCAAAAGCTAATCTCTCATGCTTCAAACATGTGAAGACACAGCAAGAGGCAGTCCAAGCCAGAAGAGGGCTCTCGCCAACACTGAATTGGCTTTGATCTTGGACCTTGTAGTTTCCAGAACTATAAGAAGCTATCCAGTTGTATGTATTTTGTTATAACTACCAGCCCAAATGGACCAAGACAAAAACTTTTTGGAAAATGATGAGACTCCAGGTCACCAGGCAATCTAATGTCAGAAAGGTAGAACCCTAAAATTCTGCTGCTTTTCCACTACACTACTATAATTTTTTAAAAAATACAAAATTATAATGTTTCTTGAAATTCATAAGTGCTAAATGTTTATCTTCCATATATTTATTTTTTCTCAGATATGAACTCAACTAGTATATATCTTTGGTTTAGAAACATACATTAAGTTCTGCTCGGGGGCCGGGGAGATGGCTCAGTGGAATAAGCATTTCCCTGGCAAGCGCAAGGGCCTGAGTTCAATCCCCAGTTCCGCCAAAAAAAAAGAGAGAGAGAGAAGTTCTGCTCATTTATCCATCTATCCTTTGTGCATGATCCACCCCCCAAGGTGATTTAAAGAATTTATGTTCTAAGAATCTGTAGCGTCTAGGAACACAATTTACCCTGGAAGCAAATACAATACATGTGTTTATTACTAAAGTAAAGTCTATGCTCACTACTCCATTATCATTGTTAGTGAGAGTTTAGAATCTTTGCCGGCGTCTTACAGAAGTAAAAATCCACCCTGGGTGGGAGCAGCTGCAACTGTGAAGAAAGCTACAAATAACATGCTGGGAATTCAGCAGGCACTGTTATTATATCCTGTTTATATTGTCATTTTTCCTATCAGTAGCATATTTATACAGACCATACACACAAACTTCTTGTTTATCTTATTAGAGAAATCCTCCAAATCTATAAAAAGAAAGGTCTGTTTGTTTCTGGAATAGCACACGTTATAATTTTGTACCTTAATACACTTTGTTATTTAGCATTTTCTTTTGTTAGGCACCATTTGCTCTCATTTTTATATCATTTTTATATCAAAGTTCATTTCATGTTGTACAGTTGACCTTAAATGACTTTTAGGGGATTTGTTAAAGAATAAGATTCTACAACACTATACCTTAAACTTTATTTTAGAGCTGATGTCATTATATATTCTTTTAAGATATATTTGACAAACTTGTTTAAAGACAGAAAACTATGTTTATATAATTAAAATATTTTAGAGATTGAGCTAGGTGTTACAGGGCCTTCCCTATTCAGGCAGGTTCTTATCCTAGATGGATGAATTATAAGGCCAGACTTCACTGAGGTTCTCATTAATTCACTATTACCTAGTAAGACCTCACCTCTACAATTAGCTCCACTTTTCTTAGATTGAGAGCTGGACAGGCTGGACAAAAAAATGTAACATATTTAATAACACACAAATAGCTCAGTGGAGTAAAGCACCTGCTTAGGCAAAGCATAGGGACTGGGGTTCGATCCCCGGCACCACATACCTTGCCAGAGCTGCCCCATGGGGTGCGCTTAGACAGCGATTGAGATTGGGCATGGTGGTGCATGCCTATAATCCCAGCACTTGGGAGGCTAAAAACAGGAGGATCACTATGAGTCCAATCTGTGTAGTGAGACCCTGTAGACACACACACACACACACACACACACACACACACACACACACATACACACACCCCAACTCAGTAAGGTGATCTAGATGACAAATAAATGAATCTGGTTATCAATTACTCTCATTTTCCAGCCTTGGAGATAAAAGAAAATTTCAACTTCTTTATGGGCATAACTTCATGTAGCATTTGTTGAGCAAATATTATTCCTAGGGAAGTTACGCTGGACAGTTTTTCACATGTATAATTTGTGTTAAGTCCTTATTTGTGGTGTAACACTCCTGTTACACCATGAAGTAGTTCTATAAGGTAACTAGGTAAATGTAAAATGTTGATGGTATAGGTTTAATGCTAGATTCTCTGAGCCAATGTACGAAAAAGTCACAGCCTTTGAAGAATATTACTCTATACTGCAGCAGTATAGAGTAAAGGCAGGGCAGTGAACTAGATCTAATTAATTATACATATGAATTACATCCAAATCAAATGAAGATAATAACTAAGTTTATTTTAGTTAAGAGGAACTGATAAGGCTGTGATGAGGCCTACCAGGTACAACCAAGGAATTGGAAGCATACAAATGATCAGAATTCTAAAAATTTAAAGTAGCTGAGCTCAGGGAGTATACTGAAGATGGCAATAAAAAAAGGAAGCTGGAATCACATTTTAAGGAACTTCCTTTTCTATCTTTTGCTTTCAAAAACAGGAGATGACATATTACCAAGCAATATCAAGCAATTCTAATCCATAGAAATTAAGACCAGGAAAGTTTATCAGTCTCCTTGCTAGAAAAGTATTTTGAAACTTAGATTACTTGAGGGGTTTTTTTATTTGTTTGGTTTTTTAAATGTATTTGGTACAGGGTCTCTTTACACAGCTCGGACTCGCAGCTCAGACTCACAGTGATCGTCCTGTTTTAGCCAACCCAGCTCTGGGATTACAGCTATGTGCCACCATGCCTGGTCTCAGTGGCTGGCTCAGCACACTTGGGGTGGGGCTGCTGTAGCATGTGGTACCAAGGATGACTCCAGGACCCTGAACTTGCCTAAGCAGATGCTTAGTCTACTGAGCTATCTCGCTGGGTATAGGGTAGCACTCTTAATAAGTGTCCTGGTGAAATCAATCTTGCTATTTCATGGACTACATTTTGCATAGCAAGATATGAAAACTTTCAGCTTCTCTTTCCAAAATGACAATGTTTAATGTATCAAATTCAGCTCATGATGGTACATCTAGTGCTTTGGATATGCCTAAGCAATGCTTATCATAGCTATCTTAGGATGATCTAAATCAAAGTTACATAAGTTTCAAAGCAATTGTTTGAAAGGTCCAAGATGATTCAAGTGTATTCAACCTACTCAGAAATTTTTCCACCTAAACAAGGCAACTTTGTAATATTGGCCTATAAAACTAGAATTTTATTTGTTTTTTGTATTTTTTAGGCCTGCAAACTAAAAGAGAATATTGCTTCCTATCACCGAAGCTAAAAGTGCAAAAAAAGACAACGTTCCATCTTTCCCATAACACAACACATAAGTGAGTTTCACTAAAACCTGTATAATTTGCCCTTACACTGTCTCTTAAGCACCATGACACAGTCTTTCAAGATAAAGAATGTAAGCCAAAATAAATCTTTCCTTAAGAAAACTGACAAACACCTATAGACTACAACAGTTAAATGCATATACCCCTCTTTAGTTCTAAGACTTTTATATGAAAGGTGTATCTTAAAAGCCTTTTATCATGAACAAATGTCACTCAGAAGCATATCACTAAAGTAACACACACATTATGAAAGACTCATTGAAGCTAGGCATGGTGGCACAACCCTCTATTCCCAGAACTTGGGAGGCTGAGGTAAGAGGATCACTGCAAGTTTGAGGCCAGCCTAGGTTACATACTAAGTTTGAAGCCAGTATGAACTGCACAGTGAGATCTGTCTCAAAAACCAAAACCAAAGAAGGGCGGGGGGACTGGGTGAACTTAGATATTTGATATTAAATTTAGCACATCTAAATTTCAAGTTTCATTTTCAACTGAATTAGTGGTCAGCAAAAAACATTTTAGGAAAATTAGCATTGTGTCAATGTGTAGAAAAGAAAAAGAGTATTGGGGCTGGGGAGATGGATCAGTGGAATAAGCGCTTCCCTGGCAAGCACAAGGGCCTGAGTTCAATTCCCAGTTCCACAAAAAAAAAAAAGAAAGAAAGAAAAACAAAAAGAATATCTTAAAATTGTAAGGTGGTGTTGCAGAACAGATCCACGTGTTTCATAACAAGAAAAGTAACACAGAGAGGCCAAAAGACCATAACATAGCTTTGTAGTGTTTAGTAACTATGAAATGTAGTTGAGTTTCTTTCCTCTAAAGACTACTAATATTTTGAGATATCATTATTATCAATGAAAGGTAGACCACATACTAACAAAGAAAAGACAGGCTACACCCAAATTTAAGAACTTTGTGAAAAAAAAAAAAAAAAAAAAAAAGCAATCTGGATAGAGAATGACATATATACACCACATACTAGGGATGGGGCTTAAGACTGGAGGGGAGAATGGGATGGGATATAAAGGACAAAGAGAAGACAATGGTAATTCTCATCTTCTCAGTAACCATTTGAGGAAATGCTTTCACATACAGAAAAGTGGTTTTAAAAGAACTTTCTTTACCCTCATGAATCACTTTTTAACTGGTAAAATCAGGGATTAGATTTGGAGGACTGCAAAGCTTTTAAAAAATGAAATGCAGATAGCAGTTGGATGTGCGTGTGTCATAAGTTCTGTTTCAATTAAAAGAAAACAAGAAATGCTATTTTAGTCACAAAATAGGGAATTTTTTGCTTATTATGAATGCTATAAAACTTACTACCATAAGAAAAAAATCACTGGAGAAGTTCTGTGATATGAGAGACAATGGTCTTAAATCACAGGGATACATTATTATGCCTAAGTTGACAGATCTGCACTGCAATGCAGAAATGCAAGCAATATTCAACATCTGCACAGAAGGCAGAGAATAGACACGATTCCAGAATAAAGGACTCTTCAGCTCTTACCTGTTACCTGTGCAACAACTGCTTGGGAAATCCTCCGATTGGCAAGAAAGGCTTTGATTTCCTCTTTTATCACACTGCTGTCCCTCCTAACAAAAACAGAAGACAAGACCAACAATGTATGTTGAAGGCAGAAATCCTCAACTTTGCCAAAAGAAAGGTGTAGCAGAGAGGTGGGGAGAACACAGAAAGAAAGGACACAAAAATAAAGGGTAAACAGACCAAACTTGTATGAAAATATGAAATTACAACAAACCAAGAAACACCAAATATTCAAGTGCTGAAACATCACACCACCAGACAGACATTTTAGTGAATGCCACCATAGATACAAGTCTCATACCAGAAGACGGCTAATTGCATGCTGTGTATAATTCATATGAGGAACACGGCTGTGATACAGTATATATAAGGTTCATTACTGAGGAATGAATATATCTTACACAGAAATCCTAGAAAAATAAACATCAGTTGTGAGCAGCTTGTGGGTTTGCATCTTAGCTAAACAAAGTTCATTTATAAAACTTTAAAATAGTTACAGGAATAGAAATCATTACTCTCACAACTGAAAATATGAGCCATTTAACAAAGGCTTTGCCCTGTGACTCATCTTTTTTTCAATGTACAGAGAAAAAAAAACGCAAAAGGGGATGGCTAAATATTAAAATTTAATACTGAAAAGTCATTTAATTTCCTGCTTCATATAATATATAGAATATCTGATACTCAAAACTATCCCAATGTCTATGTCCTTAGGATTATACAGTACAGACCACACTGTTCCTCTCAGAGGTTTGTTACAAGCTTTTGCTTTTTTAAAAACTCAACAAATTATCAAAAGACCAGACATTCAAGAATGATGAGTAGCAACACTTCTTTCTCTCCACAGAAACAGAATATTTAAATAAAAATATTTAAATCTTTAAAAGTGACCACATTTTCTGTGAATACTTTATCTTCACAAAGAATACAACAATAGAACACTGAGTTTTGTTCAAGCTCAAATCTGCCCTGCCATCTGTTTTCATGTAACTGTTGAGCTAAGAATCCTTGGGGGCATTTATAAGTAAAGTAAAATATTATAGCCTATATGATTCTAATAATGAGCCTATATTTTAAAAGTTTTTATTCAATTATTATTCTGTATTTAATTTTGTCAATAAAAACTTGTGGCTATTTGTCTCCTGTATGTAAGTATCTACACTCTGGCTTTAGTTTTTCCTGTTAGCTGCAAAGTCTAGAATGTTTACCACAGAATTCTTTACAGAAAAACTTTGCTGACCTTTGATCTGAGAAAAGGACCACAAAACCTTCACAAATCTGGGCACGGTGCCAACACACCTGTAACCCCAGCTGTAATCCCAGCTATTCAGGATGCTAAGGCAAAAGGACTCCAAATTCAAGTCCAGCCTAAGTAAACGTGTGAGACTTTATTTTAAAAATTAAGCCAGGTATAGTGACATATGCCTATAATCTCATCACTTTGGGAGGTTGAAACAGGAGGATCTCAAGGTGCAACCAGTATGGGCAACTTAGCAAGATCTTATCTTGAAAAATAAGAACTAGAGATGCAGTTCAGCAGTAGAGTACTCCTGTGTTTGATCTCCAATACCACCAAAACAAGAAATATCTTTACAAACTATTTGTGAATGAATCACAAACTCTTTCTAGGAGTTCAAGTCTCTCTGCATATTAACTGTAAGAAAAACACCTTACCACCAAAGAATCAGTTGTACCTTAATTTAGATCAGGTATTTCAGCCCTCAATGAAGACAAGTTACACATTCTGTTGGTAGACTACATGCTCCTGTTTAAGAATTTTGGAAGAGTGGAGAGGTAATAGTGATGAGTTTCCACTCTACACCTCTACAGTGCATCCTGACGTACTGGATGGAGATAGTAACTAGAAACATTTCTTAAGCTGGGAATGAAGCTCAGTGGTATAGAGTTTGCTTGGCATTGGTAAATAAATAGGATCAATCCCAAGTATGCCCCCCGCCCCAGATTCTCAAAGAAAACAAAGAACAAATTGCCTAATGCATATTTAACTTTTTTTTTTTTTTTTTTTTGCAGTACTGGGGATCGAACTTGGGACCTTCCTTGCACTTGCCACTGAGCTATATCCCTGGCTCAATATTTAACATTTTAATACTGATTTCAATTATGGCTAGACTTCTCCAAAACTGCTTTTCTATATAATCAATAATCAGTTGAGTAAGAAATAATTTTAGCAGTATCAATTCCAATTGGCTTATGTAACTAACATAATTAAATCAGTTGGTTTCTTATGTAACTACAAAATTTGAAAATTTAAAAATAAAGTATCACATTTCAAAGTAAAGGATGATCTAGGAAAATGAAATTGTATTTAAGAAAATTATTCAGTGTAAATGTAAAATGTACTTTTGTAGGGGAAAATTACTAAATGGTTTTTTTTTTTGACTACTGATTAAAATTAGAATATATATCAAATTATTTTATCAAATTCACCTATAGTAGACATTAAATCATATAAAAGGTATTTATTTTGATAAGGACATCTAGTTTGTGGGTTATTCAGTCTTATAGTATATTACAGATTGCTGTAAGGCAGAAGGAATGTCAGGTCCATAAAACAGCAATTTCCCTTACCATCTCATAGGCTGTATTTTCAAGTTTCTAATGTACCTCTTAACACACACACACACACACACACACACACACACACACACACACTCTTTACTGCTTTATCAGAGAATCTTCAGTAAATAAAAAAAAAATCAGACACAACCAGAATAAACTTAAAGGATAAGGGGAACCAGTGAGCATAGCTCAATGGTAGAATGTTTGCCCTGGGTTCAACCTCTGGCACCATTTAAACATGTAAGTAAATAAAAGAAAAAGGTATACATGAGCAAGTGACTTAAAGCTGCATTCTAGTTTCCTCACCAGGTAAAATTAATATTGCCTTTAAAAAGTTTTTAAAATCTTCTCTATAATGAATAATATCTTTAAATGAATGCATGTATAATATATAAAATAAAAAATTCTTCAATGTAAGATATTTTCAAATTGTAAAACTGCTTCATAAATATTATTATTCAAAATAAAAAGCAAAGGGTTGTTGATGGTAGTTCAGTGCAAAGGCCCTGGAGGGGGGAAAGAAAGAAATGAAGAAGAAAGAAAAAAAAGAAAGAAGACTAAAATACAAGGTATTTTAAGAAAGAGTTCTTTAAGGTCAACTTAGACATAGGTAGTGATGTGTTATTTACTTGGCTTTATTAGACATTTTCAAAACAATAACAGCATTCAACTTTCATCATGTCCAAATCTCTTAAGTACTGCAGAATCCTTTCTACTTGGCTTGCTTTGTTCTTTAAACTTGTTTCTCATATTTCTCTTCACTCTCTCCTTATCCAGTCTTCCTTAATCATGTGCCTCTTGCAGTATCTTCGTATGCCCTGATTCTGTGAAATCACCAGTTAGTGTGAAAACTATTCCAAATCTAATTCTTTTGTCTTCTCCTTCGATAACTTCTCTAAGAAGAATAAATCTTTTCTTCTTTTCACTTATAATAAAATCTCATACTATTCAAAATCTTTATTCTTCAGATGTGTGAAATAAAGTGAAGAATAGGCTGTTATTTTCTTTTACTCCACGGCTTAAGACTAAATCAGCTCTCCTGCAATTTGCATCTCATCATTTGTAGTCCATGCCTCCTCCTCTTACTACTTTTTCAAATATCCACCATGCTAGATTCATCTGTGTGACATCTACATCAAGATGAAATTCTTCCTTTCCACTTCCCATTATCAATTTTATAACTTGCTAAACTTTCCACTGCTACCTACGTAGTTTTCTTCACCCCTGAAGGAATTCATGAGCAATGCCTCTGTCAAACCACCTTTCTTTAAGACACAATTTAACTGTCATATGCTGAGTTCTTGATCTTCACAGCTAACAAAGACTTCTTTTCAAAGAGCTATTTGTAATATTTCAATTACACTATTCACTTGGTATTATACACTATTCTAATAGTTTGTCCTACTTTGTCTTATCTCTCCTACTACTCCGTAAAGTTGCAAATATTATTTCTTATTAATCATGGGGCTTGCATACAATAAAATTTAATTTGTTAAATGGTGAACAAACCTAAAGATAAAAAGTTGTAAATGAAAAATCTGATCTAGATAATTTATAAAACAGCTTTAATTCTTATTTTCAAGCATCCTTAAACTTCTCAAATCAAAATGGAGTAAGTCCACATGTTTCAAAATTGCTAGGTTTTAAGACCTGAATCTCTTAGTTAATGTGAACTAAACATTCTTTAGTTTAAAAGTAGTCACCTATTTCAGAAAAATAAAATAATATCTAGTCTGTTTCACAATTGGAAAGATACAATTACATATAAATGTCTTTCACATTTGAATTAAAACAGTCCTGTAAATTTTTACCCATGAAAATATACAAAGCATAATTTAAAAAAATAACACTGGAAGAATAATCAACATGGTATGTGTACATTCTAATCATTTCATCCTGTTACCTACAGAACAGAAATATCCTACCCTTACACATAAATACAAGATGAGTGTCCCTTATTTGAAATGCATAGGATGAGAAGTGTTACAGATTTGAATTTGTCAGGGGGAGTTGGTGATTGTGGTGGTAGAACACGTAGATATAGATATCTAGTTATCACAGACATCCTATACCTAGATAGGACCAAAGTGTAAACACAAAATTCATTTACATTTCATATATACTTTATGCACAGAGCCTGACTTTAATTTTACTCAATATTTTAAATAATTTTTTTGAAAACAAGTTTCAAAGCATAGATTTTCCACCTAGGGTGTCACATAAGGACTCACAAAGTTTTGGATTTAGAAGCATTTCACATTTCAGGAATGCTCAATCTATAGTCCACTGTTAGGTCTATATAACCAACTAGAAAAGTTTCAGAAGTTTGTATAAAATACTAACATACTAGCTAGGGAGAACTACTTGGTAGGTCAAGGCAAGAGGATGACAAGTTTCAGGTTATCCTGTGCACCTTAGCAAGGCCCTTTCTCAAAATAAAATAAAACGAGTCTAAAGATGTAGTTCAATGGTAGAGCATTTTCCTAGTATGGGTAAGGTCCTGGTTCAAGTTTATGCACAGAGTATTGCAACACAAAAACAAAAAACTTTGTGTTTTTGTACTGCAACACAAAAAAACTCCAAGTCACTAACATACTCACAAAATTTAGTATACAGGTGGATGAGGGCATACTTAGTGTATGACACTATTCATTCATTCTGACAAAATTCATAATACATACATAATAGAGCAGATAAACATTAGATGCATACTATTATGCTAACAGATATAAACACCCTCCAACATATATACTTATGTATTAGTAAAGATACTTTTAAAGAAATTAAAATGTGAAATAAGTCTTTATTCTGAATTTTTTTTTATTCTGAATTTAGAGCCCTTCCTAAAATGTTACGTTCTGTGACTTTCTGACATAAGCCAAAATAAACCTTTCTCTCCAAAGAATCTCTATTACATACTTTGAAATAATTCACTAAAGAATAACTGGATTGGGGCTGGGAAAATAGTTTGGCAGTCTAAGCTCCTGCCTGGCAAGTGCAAGGATCCAGGTTAAATCCCTGGTACTACATGCTGTGCCAGCCTCTGAAACCAGGCATGGGAATGCATGCCTCTAATCCCAGCACTGGGGAAATTGAGAAAGGAGGATCACTGAGTCTCAGCTGTGCAGCGAGATCCTGTACAAAATAAATGATTTAAAAAATTTTAAAGGAGAGTATCTGGATTATGATAACTGGAAAAATATGTCTTACAGGTGAGTATCATGGAGGGTGGGGAATGTGAGCAAGGGACAGGCAGATTTTATATACACAAAAATGGAGGTAGGAAGGCATCCAGGGACCCACGCTTCCTGCTAGAGAGCACCAGTTCCAATTCATTCTAATATCACCAGTGTGGAGTGGTCCACAAGGGCAGTATATGTGTAGGTGGGCAGAGAAGACACACTGTTTAAAGAATATCTCTAACATCCCACCAAATAAAAATTCATTTCATTAGTAAATGATTCAAAGTGGTGAGTATAAGGGGGAAGGACAGTAGCAAGGTTAATAAATCTATTATACTGTCTTGAGTGACATTAACTACATTTCCTTAAGTCTTACTTAAATCCAAAAACATGAATAATTAATTTCTAGAGAAAACATACTGATAATAAAACAACATATGCAATAAAGATGTGAGATGTAATTTAGGTTCCAATATTCAAGTTGGGCAAATAATTTTTATAAATTTCAATTTTCCTGATTAAATTTACAGCATTTTTGTAACAATTACAAGTGAAAACAGTCATCACATAAACTTAAATTTATTTATTCCTTTTTTGTCTTTTTCTGACAGCAACTTGCTATACATGCTATTTTAGGCTGGCCTTCAGACTCACTTTGTACTTAGGCTGGCCTCGAACTCACAGCAATCCTTCTGCCTCAGCTTCCCAAGTGCTGAGATTACAGGAGTGCACAAACGCCTCTCTCCAACCTAAGAAGAATTATACTCAGAAGGCAAGGGGAGAGGAAAGAAAGAGCCTGGAGAAGGGGAAAATTGGAGGCAAGCAGGAGTGCTGGAGTGGACAAAGGCACAATGACAGAAGATCAGAAGGTCCAAGGAGACTCTTGTGTAATTAAAGGACACCAGAGGAGCAGTACTAAGGAAGCTGAAAAAGGGCAGGAGTATCCTGATCATGAAGAAGGTAGCATCCTAACTACCACAAGCTGCAGTACACAAATTAAATACCAACTGCAACGTGTAGAACTACATATGTTTAGTGAAATTTGAATGAGTGTAATTATAGGATTGAACTACAAATTTTAGTCAATACTAACAGATGCTCTGTTTAATAAGAAATACAGTAGTACCTTGATTGTCTGTCGAATGACTCCAAGCTCAAACTTTCCTTTTTGTTTTTGTTTTGATTTTATGAGACAGGGTCTTATAGTTCAGGCCGCCCCTGAGCTAAGTATATAGTCTAGGTTAGACTCCAACTTATGGCAATCCTCCTGTAGGCCTCAGCTTTCCAAATGCTAGTTTTACAGGTGTGTGCTACCATGCCCAGCTTAAACTTTCTATTACTTTAACAGCAAAGTTTGAAAAAAATCTGCTTGGTGTTCCTAACTGTTTGATAGTCACAATGAAAATCGAACTTGAAAAGACAGTTAAACATAGTGTCTTGCCATAAAAACAAAAAGGTGATGTTTCAGCCTAGGCTCCACTCTAGTCCAAATAGCACACAGTGCTTATGTTAGTGTGCTAAAACAGTTGTTATTGTGCTTTTTTTGGGGGTGCATTTCAATCATGCAAAATATCGTCATAGCGCCAAAGAAAGTTCCTGATAACAGCAGTAAAGCAAGGAGGAAAAATTTGAGAACCATAATGCAGTTAAACAAAGAAATCATTGTAAAATTTGGTAAAGTCCTAGAAAACTGAATTTATAAGTGTAATTCTTGGGTCTCAGAAACAACTATTTGGTTTTTCATTATTTCTTATTGGAAAAATATGTTCAGTTCTTGAACTTTTCAGTGTTTGAATACAAATTTGGAACAAACTGAGTTTGACAACCAAGGTACTACTTTAGTCGAATAAAGCATCAGGCTAACCTACAGGTTAAAAGTCAACTTTTTAGTTTCTTATTAGACTTTTTAGTCTTAATAATACTTGTAACTGAAGCAGGAAGATCTTGCCTATGCTATTATATAGGGAATTCAAGGTCAGTCTAGACTTCATAGTGATACCTTGTCACAAACAACCAGAAAAAAAGAAAAAAGATATACAATTTTCTGTACTTCTTATTAATATGATACACATTGGGGGGATTATTATATAAAAAGCTTATCAAAATTAACAATAATAACATACAACTGAAAAAAATTTTTATTGTTTAAACGCTCTTTACTCAGAACAATTAAAAGCATGTCTTACTATATTACAATGAGTGAAGAAACTTTTATTTGGCCAAATGGGCCTCTGTTTTAATCACCACAACTGTGGTGCAGATTTTTGTTTGTTTTTGGATTTTTTTGTGGAACCAGGGATTGAACTCAGGCCCTTGCACTTGCCAGGGAAGCACTTATTCCACTGAGCCATCTCCCTGTCCCGCCAATCACCACAACAGACTAAATCCCAAAACAAGCAACATCTGGGGCTGGGGAAGTAGCTTAGCCTTCTATCAAGCTGAAAATATGCCTTAACTACTCTGACACCTTCTAGGAGTCTCTTAGATTGATTGATTGATTGATTGATTGGTTGGCTGACTGACTGATTGACTCACTGATTGCAGTACCGGGTATCAAACTCAGGATGTGGCACTTGCCAGGCAAGCACTTATGCCACTGAGCTATTTCCCCTGCCCGAGCTTCTAACCTTTAAATAAAATTTCTATATTTCAAAAGAGGGGTTATCCTTTAAGGTTTATGCCAAATTCATTCACTCAAAAAATTAAGGCATAACTATGTGCTAAAGAAAGTTAGAGATTCTTTCTGGACAAATAATAAACATATGATTGTACCCTCAAAGTGCCCCAAAAATCTGGTATGAAGCCTTTCCTAATTACTTCCATTGAAAATAGGTTTATTTTGTCAGTGCTTAAAACCCTTAAATGTGTACATGTGTGCATGTACACCTACGTGTGTTATATCTATTGCTAAAATTAGAACTTTCATTTCTTCAGGGCAGAAGCGCTATTTTTCTTAAAAATTCTTAATTTAATACTTGCTCAAATTTGTTGATTGGAATGATGGAGAGAAAAAGGAAGTGTATATATATTACATAGCATGATAAAATTATCTTATCCATCAGAAAACTACTTAAAAGACTCAAAAATCAGACTAACTTCTGTTAGTCACAAGCTAGGTGCTAGCCATGAAGAGAAGTCTAATCTTTGATAAATAGGCAAAATAGAAAAGGATTATCAGGTAGAAAAAAGGGCTGAAGTAGAGAAGAAAAAACTTCAATTAAGAACATAAAATTTGTACTTTTTTCTTCCTTCTCCAAACAAGGGAGGGAAAAATTACAGTTCTTATAGGTAAGTGACTGAATATGGTCATTTTGGAGACAGAGTAAGCAAAATAACTAACCTCATTAGTTCTTCCACTTTATCATCTACATCTAGGTCCTCTTCTGAGGCTTCAAAACTGTATGACCTCTGACCCATGCTATTTGCATGGTAGCGAGTTGGTGACATTTTTCCGTTGGATGTAGACAATCGCTCACTGTTCTCCCTTCCATTTTGATTGGTAGTACAAGGCTGTGGGGAAGTATCATAACTGTTGCTCGGTGATGGGGACATTCCCGAATGTTGGGTCTGTGTAGAAGCTGTAGCTGTGGAGGAAGATGCGGGAACATTGTGGGTAGTATTCCCATATGAACTTCCTCCATAGCTGGACCTTCTTCCAAACTTGTCACTATGCTCTTGATCAAGACGGTCCAGAGTTTCCAAGGCATGGAGAATTTCGTGTTTAGTCATTCCAGTACGCCGAAGGCGCTGAAGTAGATCTATCTGTTCTATGGTAAATCTGGGTTCATCTGTATAGTGAGACATGGTTTCCAGCAAACTAAAAACAAAAAGAAAAAAAGATTTTTAAAAAGGGAGTCTATTTTTTTTTTCAAAAGTTTTACTGATAAACATATAGCAATGAGACAGTTTCAAATCAAATCAAAAGTACAGTTTCAACAAATAATACACTGCATATATTCTTCTTAGTGGTTAATTGCTATACAAGATGCAGACTTGTGATCCTACTTACAAACACCATTAGAAAAAATCATTCTATTCATTAAGAGAATGCAACTATATATCTATCCCAACCACTTTGAATACACAGATACAAAATGGACATTCATCTGTATACCCCATTTTTTTTAAGTTCCGTTATTGAATATTATAGGTGTGTAAACTCAGCAAAATATTCTAAAAGAGTCCAGTAGCCCATAATAGCATTGGGTCTTCTGTTTAACTGGCAATGTCAGAAATTATTGACCTGAGTACCCCACAGCTCAACATAACAACATGGCTTTACTTCCTATATTTCGTCTTCATACTTTTCTACTGGATGGTTAAGACCAAGGTAAAGCAGGACCTGTGCAACAAGAGTTGTAGCTTTTTGATCTGAGAAGGTCAGTGAAATGCCCTCAGGATTTATGCTGAGATCTTGTACCTCAGATTGTAGAACCTTTGTCAGTGTCAGCCATGTGGATGAGTCATGGCCAATGCTTGGCCAATGTCCTCTCTGTGAAAGCCTGAGAGAGTGTCTTCTCTCCATGTGATGGAATAAGGTTTTTTTTTTTTTTGTTCCTCGAATGCCTTCAGGGCACTTTTGGCCAGCTGGAGAGGTGTGAGGTTCGAACTCCAGCAACCTGAGGCTGACAGCTTTGTGGAAGCAGCCACTTAAAGGCCTGAGCTACGGCCAGGCCCCCCGGGAGTCTCTTTATTGACAACATTTCCCAAAGTACATATTATAGAAAATATTTAGCAGACAAATTCCTTTTTTTTGGGGTGGGGGGGTGGGGGTAATGGGAACTGAACTCAGGATCATGTGCTTGCTAGGCAGGCATTGTGCTGTTAAGCTATATCCCTGGCTCCAGATGCATTATTTATCAATATTTTTACTAAAAGTATGAAGACATGTGCCATGCTAAATCTGCAATGCAAATACACTGATACTGACTGATACTGAGTTTATTAGCAAATAGACATAAGATATAAGGCACAATTTATTATAGTGTATCACTTACATTGTTTATATTGGAACTAAAAATTTAGTTATATCAGTAACACCAAAACAACAAATTAAGTAATAAAAGTGCAGTAAGCACAGATTATCTAATAACTTTTTAAAAAAATATTCTAAACTTACTATACTTCAATAGAATATAAATGGAAAACTGCTAAAAAAAAAAATAGTATATATTATCTTGCTTTACCAAGAATGAGCAAAACTGACTTAAACCTCTGAAACTCAATTCAGTAAAAACAAATGATTTGCTTGGCTAAGCCCAAGCAAATATTAACAACCAGCAAAGACACTTAAGTGAAAAAAGTAAGACAGGTATATTTAAAAAAAAAAAAAAAAACTTATTAAGCATCAGTTCATCTACTACTTAGTAACTTCCTAAATTTTCATCTATGTGATGTGTTTTCTCTTAGTATTTATCCTGAAAATGGATCTTTTATGGTTGTAGCCAAATGAAGCTACTCATTTTCTTAGGAAATTGCTTCTACATGTTTCCTTTTAGCACAAGATACCAAAGCACATCAGAAAATGTCTTCAGAGTGAATGACAATCATACAAATTTTTACAACTTAAGATTCCTTTTGTAATACAATCTGACTTTTTGAATACTTGATTTTAAAAAGCAGTTATCATTTTCTATTTTAATTTTTGTTGTTCTAGTGCCAAAATGATTCACAGCATACAGTAGACACTCAATAAATACTTGCTAAGAAACACAGAGGTCAAGTAACATTCTCCTATGTGATCTAGGCCAGCCCCATTAACCTGCTGGAGTTTTGTTTCTTCATTCCTCTAGATTGTACTAATTCCTTGTAGTATATATTATTTATTTGATTTTATTTCATGCTGATCAATTTACTCTAAGGAAACTAAGGCTCAGAGTACTTTTGTATCTTGAAAAAAAACAAAATTAAAAATAGAAAAATAAATTTTAAGCCTACACTTTATTGACTCCAAAACCAAACATTATTTTGAATGGCAATATACTGTAATACTTACTAAAATGAAAGGATTTGGGATATAGGCTGTTGTATTCCTTTAAGTCTCCAGTTAAAATGGTTTAGATAAATCACTCTACTGATGTACTAGCAGGTCACAGCAATTAAAGCCTTAGTTCAATTTAGAATTTATATTTACTTTCTGAGTTTGAAAAGATTTATAATTTATTTCTTTGTAAGTGGACAGCTAGTTGTCCAATATCTTTCACTGAATAATATACCTACTCCCTGATCTGAAAGGTTACTTTTATTATATACAAAAATTCCATATGAATTTATAACTACATTTGGATTTTCTATTTCATTGTCGTGTTTTTCAAACATTTGTTAAAATAAGCAGGCAGAATTTTTATGTGATGTTCTCTAGTTTTACAAACAAACTCAATAAAAATTAAACACACATGTTCTAGAACACAAAATATTAAGCTCAGACCATTTGCACCCATGGGCCACAGTATCTGCTCTGTACCTAGACTATGATCTGCTTTTGTCCAAAACTCATTTGTGCCAAGATATCCATTATAAAACAAAGACCTGTTTTCATGATTATATTCCTTTTTTAAATTTTTTTTTATTTTAGGGAATGGTCTACAGGGTGTTCAGAGTCTCACTACTAGATCGAACTCATAGTGATCTGCCTGTTTACAGCCTCCCAAGAGCTGGGATTACAGGCATACGCCACCACGACCAGTCTTAATTGCCATCTCAGCGTGCCCCAGGGGCGGGGCCAGCACAGCAGTTCCAGGGATTGAACCCCTGACCCCTGCGCCTGCTTGAGCTATTTGGCTGGCCCTTGATTACATTCTTTTTTAATTGTCTCAGTATAGTCTATTTTTTATGAAAAAGTTTAAAAATATAGAAAAGTTAAAATAAGGGCCAGCCAAATAACTCAGCGGATTAAAGTGCTGGGCTGGGGGTTCGATCCCCAGGCCTGCTGTGCCAGCCCCACCCCTGGGGTGTGCTAAGATGGCAATTGGGACTGGGCATGGTGGGGTGTGCCTGTAATCCCAGCTCTTGGAAGGCTGTAAACAGGCGGATCACTATGAGTTTGATCTAGTAGTGAGACTCTGAACACCCTGTAGACCATTCCCTAAAATACAAAGAAAAAAAAAGTTAAAATAAGTTTACAGTAAACATCCCATATACTAACCACCTAAATTTTCTTTTTACATTTTCACTAATACATATATAACTTTCATTTGCTTACCCATCTCCAATTCATTGCATTTTTAAAGCATTTAGAAAGCAGTTACAGATATATATACACTGTCCTCTAAACAGTTTAGCATAAATGTCATTTTAGAGCTTACTATTTAGCTGGTTCTTTTCTCTTTTGAGGCAAATTTTATGCCTGCAATCTGAACAGTTTTGAGAAGCACGTACCCTCTGAAACTTAATCTATCTGAAGATGCAGAATATTTCCCATCATCCAGTAAGTTCCCTTGGCCATCCTCCCCGCCAATCTTTGTCCCTTTCCCTCAGAAACAACTACTGTTCAGTTTTTTCCCCCATGATTACTTTTGTCCATCTTATAAATCTTATTATACTCTATTATTTTGTGTAAATCTTTTATTGAGCTGTTTTTGATGTTCATAGATGGTATTCTATGTTTTAGCATGTTTGTTCCTTTTCATTCATGTGGAGTTAGACCACTGACTTATGTATACATTCTACTGATGGACACATGGATAATTTCCAGTTACTGAAAAGGCTATTGCTAATGTTGTGTTTATTATATTTTTTTCATAATTTCCTTTTTAGTTCCCCTGCCCCATAACATAGCATCACCTCTCTGCAACAGGAAAAATACTTGCAATCAAAGTGATTCACTTATTTTCTCCTGATCAATTTCAATAAATCTGTATACTTTGTTCAACACCAAAAAATTCAGCCCAGTATGGTAGCACACATCTGTAATCCCAGCACTCTGGGAGGCTAAGGCATAAGAATCACAAGTTTAAACTCAGCATGGGCAACTTACCATGACTCTGTTTAAAAAAAAAAAAAAAAAAATTTTAAAAAAAGGCTGAGGATATAGCTTAGTGGTAGAGCATTTGTATAGCATATGGAAGGCCCTGCACAGAATGAAAATACATTTTGTAGCGTTATTAGTTTTCTCTACCTTGATTTACACGTGCATTGTATTACACAGGTTATGTATACCCTTTGAAATTTCATCAAAATTAAGATACTGTTGATTTATGCATTTCAGAAGTATATTTTACTTCAATGAAAAAAGTTTCCTGATAAAGTTAAGTGGATAGTTTCCCAACAGCTCATATAAGACACTTAACTCATTACTCTCTGTTTAAATCTTTAGTTCTTCATTTATTCTATCAAGTGTCTTAACAATATCTCACTCTTTTGAAGTTTTTTAAAAAGAAATTGACTAATACAAATAATTTACCTTTTAGTGTATTGATTTGGTAAATTCTGGTTTCTATATATCATCATTTTCTCTTGAAAACGTAGTAACTTGTTCTGTTGCTATCTTTTGGTCTTCATCTTAGTAAAACATTTCATAAACTGATCTTTTTAGATATGTGAATTGAAGAACTATCTTACAATATGGACAAAAAACAAGCTTGATATTTTCCTATCCTATTTATATTAGAGCATATAGTAATTTCTGTACAATTTCTCAAACCTTTCCCTGTATGGACTACCACTGTATATTAGCATAAAATAAAAATGTATGAGTTTCATCAATTATTAAAAAGCATCCATCCTAATGCTTAAAAAGAAGCGTTAGGGAACTAAAGCATCTAAAACAATGTAATACTTTATATATCATTTTAGAAGTACAGATAATTGGAAACTACTTTTATCCCAAAAGTCACAAAAGGAGAAATAGTAGTCATCTATTAATTTTTATTCCTAGAACAAGTCATTGTTTCTAAGAACACATTCTGGGACTGCCACTTGGTAACATTCACCTTCTGGTGAAATGGATAGGCATACAAGGAGACCAAGTCTTACTCTCTTCACATTTTGGTAGATGAGGAGTAAATGGGATGGATCATCAATATAACTATGCTCAGGTACAGGAGGATGTTAGTCTGGCAAATTCTTCACTGTGTAGAAGGTAGTTTGTCAGAGAACAAAGGAAGAAATGTGAAATGTAACAAAGTGATTCAAAGTGATTCATAAAAAGCTCTCTGTGGATGTTCCAGTAATTCCTAACTCTTATACATTCCTGCTCTTATCTTCTTTTTTTTTTTTTTTGGCGGAACTGGTGATTGAACTCAGGCCCTTGTGCTTGCCAGGGAAGCACTTATTCTACTGAGCCATCTCCCTGACCCTCTTATCTTCTGGTGGGAAATAATAAATTTATTTCTCTTTATGTTTTACCTTCCTTAATTAGATAGATGTCCATAGCTTGTACCAAAAGAGGTCCCTAATCTAAACACACCTAAAGCAAAACCATTCACAGATGCAAATGGAGTGGATAAGCACTCTAGAGTGGAAGACATAAAGAGAAGGATCATATCATGCATGTGATACTGAAGATAACAGTAACTTACTGAGTAAATACCAAGATCAGAAACTCTCTTGGACATTAAGAATAATTGCCCAATGTGCATTAACATCAACAAAGGCATACAATATGGCATTTTCAAATTTAATATCTCATATTGTATCTAGATTAAGCACATAATCATGAAATTACAGTACTAAATGATTTATAAAGGTCATCTAAGTCCACAATACCAGCAATTATTGTATAAAAGAAAAAGCAGGAAAAAATTAAATTTATTTTTCTATGCATGAGGATTATTCACACGATGAGGAACATACTTTACTGTAAATTACTAAACTGAATGCAGACTCAGGTCAACAATATTTGAAAATGAGAAGAATTTTAACAGATAATAATAATGCAGACAATGTTTAAAAATTAAAGAACAATTCAGAAATTATGGTTCAGTTCATAAACTGATGTCTTACACTGTATCATGAGATTAATAGTATTTTCCAATAAATTTTAATACCCACTGAATATATACTTCCATCTTCTTGGATAAAGAAGAGATCCTAAATATATGTACTTTTATAAACTAAATTCTATAAACATGTAAAACAAGAGGTTAAAGCACTGACATATGATTAATCCTGAAATCCCATAGGCAAAAAAGGTTCACTGTTACTTTACTTATTATAAAGCATCAACAGCTAGTAACATTGTACTGGATAATAAAGCTTTTTTTCTTCAGCTGGATTCTGCTGCTTTTACCTTTTTATTTAGAATGACTAGGCAAAAGTTTTGTTTTGCACATGAAGTATTTACTGCAGGATGATTTAACACATCTAGAGTCAATAATAATATTCAGCAGCTGAAGATGCACCTAGGCCCTTCTTACTACTTTTGACAAGTTGTTCTCTTTCTCAGTTATTACTGTCAAAGGAGTGGCAGTTTTAAAATAAGAAAAAAGGCAAGAAGTGAAAATAAGTAAGAAATGAAGTTTCACTAGGAACTGAGCTTAACAGTTCCTAATTCAACTGATTCTATAATTCAAATCAAGGTAGAGCTGTAGAGGCCACGACTATAGATAATGACCTACAGTGTGTCAATCACACTTTAATAGTTTTGAAATTACTACTGATTAAGACTGAGGGCTTTTCTCCCCCACTGCAGTTATCTTACAGACACTGGGGGGGGGGATCTTTCAATGTCTTTGAAATGGCTCCAAAAATTTAGTTTGCTATATGAAATTCTCTTTGTGTGGTAAGCACTTAGAATGTACTTCCTTCTGCCATCCAGAGCATGATGTCCTATCAGATCTCATGAGAGAACTTGGAGCTTACTCCTTCTCTCCTTGAAAATATTAAGTCATATTACACTCTCACATGTAACATCTTTAAGTCTAGTCTCTTTTCTCTTAGCAACTTGCTCTTCTTTGAGGAATGTTATATCACACCTCACTAGACCCCCAAATGTGAATGACTGAAGCCTACTTGACTTCAAAATACATATAAACTCAAGAGTTTGACAAATACTTTGATAGCTCTGGCTATCAGAGACCTCATAAGTTTGAAGCCTCACCTGCCAACACCAGCAGTGCCCTCTACTATGGAGTGAATTTATGTGTCTTCCAGTCTTCTCTGATCTCCATTGTGGTTGTCAGGGTGGGAACCGCTCCTATAAAGGTATACCTCAATCTTAGACTTTCCACAAAAGCCAACATCCATCCTAAATGAGCAACTAGCTTGGCTAATTCTGGCACCCAGTCACTAGTACTTAAATGTCCTTGTTTATTAGTATATTCCCTGTGAGTTTTGTTTGCACGAAAATCTCCATATGGTTATGCACCAAGAGTCTAAAGGAAAATTCTCTTTCTGTGGTAAATGGAGAGTAAACCATACAACTTATTAAATACTTTGAACATACCCATATTTCTACCACACATTACAAAATCGAAGTAAAAATATGTAAGTTTACAGAGGGAGACACAAATTTGGGGTGGAAACAAGGAACTGGAGACCACTTAAGACAAATATTGTTCACTCAACTAATTAAGTTTCTGTTATGTGTGAGGCCTTCTCTGTACTGCATCATGGAAGATGCAATAAGAAATAAACCAGGCAAAAATTTCTGTCCTCATGATGCTTACAATATATTGGCTACTGAGCACAGCCACTGATAAATAAATGGTTTAAGAAAAGGAAACCAAGGCTCAAAAAGATTTAAGCACCTTCTCAAGGACACACCTACTTAGGAGAAATGGGCTATTCTAGAAGCTTTTCACTGAAGAGTCTCAATGTTGGGTTTAGCTTGAATGAGAACCTAAACAACACAGAAAACCTTTCTATTAATTGCACTGTAAAAGTGTTAACCAAAATGGAAAAAAAAAATTTTAAGTGAAGCATAGATTCCACTAAATTTTAGAAAATATTTATGCTGAACATATTCTGTAGTAGAATCTAAAGATGCACTTAATGAGCTAATAGATATGCTATCTAATAGCTAATGCTCTATCTCCTGTAATATCTGATATTCCCAGAATATGCTTATTAGAGGGCTATTTAACATGAACTGGTGGTTATAGTTCATATCCTAGGCACAAAAATACTCTTAGCATAATATTACCATCTCAATTTCTTTTCTTTCTTTTTTTTTTGCCTGACTTCAAAGAAAAGCTAGCGATTACATTAGCTAACAGGCTTAACTATATTTTATCTGTAGTAGCTGAACAGACAAGGCTAGGGTGTTTGGAGTTTACATACAAAAAGGCAACACTAAGCTAAAAGGCTTCCAATACTCAGTTTCTCCCAGAGTCTAACACTAGTGCTCTCCCATAGTTAGCTATCTATCTCACAAGCTTCTAGGCCACTAAGCAGTAAAAAATGACAGTAATTTTATGTTTAATGGAAAATGAATGTCAAAATCCAAAGTTGAAAATATGAATGATAAAAGAGGTTGATTTTTTATCATTCAAAAATTCATTCACATAATTATGACACTTCATCTCAATGTCAAATCAACATACCATTTGATTCTTTTTCTTAAAAATTCTTTTAACTCTACAAATGTCTGTTGTCAGATATCAATCATAACCATAATGAATTCTTTATTAACCCAGTTAAGGGGATAAAAATTGATAAGGACTAGATACTTACACTACTGGAAAGGAACTGAGCATACTTTACATGAGGCGGATCAGTAGTCTTTCCAGAGATGATCAACGTTCTGTATCATTCTGTAGAATAAAAATAGAAAATTGAAAAAATTTATGCTATTTGAGGGTTAAACTATTTACCTGCATTAACTTACATATGGTAAGAATTAATATTAGCTAATCACATTTAAAAATCAGTTTGTAATTTTGAAGTGGAACACTGGTTTGAAGTGGTTAAAAAAAACCAGAAAAACATCACTGGTAGCCTTCCAAATAATTCACTTGAAAAAATAATGGAAGTTATACACTTAAAGCTTAATTCATTATCAGGAACCACTCAGGAAGAATTAAATATGCAGTAGAACATATATTATGCTGATACTTAATATAACTTTTTAATAGTAAGATCAGGGCATTCACAAAGAATCCTATAAACAATAAGCCCTGGAACGATTATAACTAAATGTCTTAATTATCAGGTAAATTGTGGAGTCTAATTACAAGTAAGTATATTACTTTTTTTCCCATAATTTTATTGAGAAACAAATAGCAATGAGACAGTTTCAAATCAAATTGGTAAGACAGTTCCCATAATAAACACACTGCATACTCTCTTCCTAGTGCTTATTTGCTATACAAGATGCAGACATGATATCCTATTTACAAACACTATTAGAACAAATCCCTCTATTCATTAAGAGAATGTAACTATATATCCTAACCATTTTGAATACACAGATACAAAATGCACATTCGTATATTACTTTTTTAAAAAATATTTATTTATTTGATACAGGATCTTGCTACACAGTTCAGACTCATAGTGATCTTCTTGTCTCAGCCTCCCCAGTGCTATAATTACAAGTGTGCATCATCACACCCAGTTTCAGGGCTGGCATGGCATGTGGTACTGGGAACTGAATTTGGGTCCTTGTACTTGCCAGGCAGGAACTTAAGAGTGCATGTTACTTTTTAAATTAACATTATTTTGAATGAGTTAATTTCCCTAACCCTCAATTTCCATATCTATACAATAGGGATAACAGACTTTGTAAAAAATATTAAATAGGTGTGATGACGCACTTAACAAACTATCAAGTAGTGGCTATTACCACCAATTTGAACACCCATGTTACATTTCAGATGACCTAATACAGTGCACATTAACAATAGAGGAGTCTATCCATCTTTTGAATTGTATTCTACTGCTTTACTTGCCATTGAGACACTTTGATCCATTCCATTCATACAAAGGTCTTCCCCCAAAAAATGAAATCTACTATTCATAGTTTACAAAACCAAAAACTGTCATGACTAAAATTTATTAGCAGTTTCAAAACATAATCTATATAGATAACTATTTCTATCAACTCTTAAGTTGAGATTACAAATTAGACAAAAATTAAGAGATGCTAATGTTAAAAAACCACCTCATTACAATACACTCAGCAATGAATTATATTAAACAAGACCAAAATGTCTAACAATGACTAATCATATATGTGAAATATATAGAGTAAAGTTAGAAATCTTTCACATTTGAATATCCTAAAATGTAGCGTTACGAAGTTCTTGCTGTAATTTCCCTGTTGATTAAAAAAAATCTGTCCTAAAAAATAGATGCAAAATATAAAGAAAATCTACTGAAAACATTGTTGATTACATTGCCTTCTATATATTCATACTCCAGGTGGATGCAACATAAAAGGTAAAAAAAAAATTCATAGCAACATCTTTTATAGCAAAATTTAGAAAATACATCATATACATATTTGTAAGACAAGGAACACACACATAAAAAAGACATAAAAAATTGAAATTTTCTTACTATGGAAAAAAATAAACCAAGCAATTTAATCAGAAAAATTATCCCTCCTGTAGAGAAAGAGCAGATCCAAGTAATTAAGTTTACAAAACATATTCAAACATGCTATAAATCAGGCCAGGTACAGAGGTGCAGACAGCACTCGGGAGGCTGCTGCAAGTTCGAGGCCAGCTGGAGCTACATAGCAAAGTCAAGGCCAGCCCATAACTACACTGTGAGACTGTCTCAAAAAAATCCCAAAAACATAAAAATAAATAAAAATTTTAAAAAAACACATTTCCTTCACACAGCTATGGGACTCAGGTACAGTACTCCTACAATCGGAAGGCAATTAGCACAAGGACTTAGGGAAACAGCTTGATACTTTTTACAACCTAAGTATGGTCTAGATATGCAATCCAAAAACTGGGTTCTAGTCATTCATCTGATTTAAACTATGTCTGTCCATTCACAACCTTGAACCTGAATGTCTCTAGTATTTTTGTTCAACTCAAATGTCCTTCCAAAGACAAAAGTAAAAAGATCTATCCATAGCATGCCATGTTATTGAGTAATAAAAAATGATGCCATGAAAAAAAAAACAAAAAACACTCAAAGAAAATAACAATTTAACAATGCCAAATCACCTTAGGAAATCCTGAAAAGACTGGTATCTCTTCAAAAGGATACCATCACATTTTATTAATCTAAATGTGACAGTCCTTTAAAAAGGAAACTAGCAATATATTTAAATTTAAAGTATTTATAACTTTAACTTGTTAATTCTACTCTGGAGAATCAATCTCATAGAAATAAAAGTGCTTTTGCATAAGGAAATATAGTGCTTATTTTCAAATTTCTTTTCTCTACAAAGAATTGTTACAATTATTACAAGAATGGCTGAGTAAACCTAAAATATATTTTGACCAATAAAAACAATACAATTATTATATTCTAAGATGACGTGGTGGGATTTTTGCAGTATATTCTAAAACAGCAAAATGCAATTTTTAAAAATTATACAGTAAGGGCCAGCCAAATAGCTCAGCAGAATAAAGCAGCTGCAAGCAGGCACTGAGGCTGGGGGTTCAATCCCCAGGCCTGCTGTGCCAGCCCCACCCCCAGGGTGCGCTGAGATGGCAAATGAAACTGGTCATGGTGGTGCGCACCAGTAATCCCAGCACTTGGGAGGCTGTAAACAGGAAAATCACTACAAGTCCAATCTAGTAGTGAGGTCCTGAACATCCTGTAGATCCTTCCCTAAAATATAAATAAATAAATAAATATTATACAATAATTTGAGTTGTGAAAGAATATCCTTTTATGTATGTGCTTATGTTAATATGCAACCTATGTAGACACATACACACATATGCACATATATATATCCATGTACATAAGCACAGGAAAAAAACAGATGGTCAATAGGCAATGGAAATACAGAAAGAATTAGTGTGTATAGAAAACAGGTCAAAAATTTATGCAAATGGCTTGGAAAGATAAAAATATCAGGGAAGGAAAAAAACAGACATAATGATGTGTGTATGCATATGTAACAGACAAGTATATATATTTTCTCTAAAATATTCTGCCATCAGAAATGAGTTGTTTTTTTTTTTTTTTTTTTTGGTGGAACCAGGGATTGAACTCAGGCCCTTGCACTTCCTAGGGAAGCGCTTATTCTACTGAGCCATTTTCCTGGCCCCAGAAATGAGCTCTTAATTAGGTATTAGTTAAGGTTATCAAAACATAACATAAAGAAGTCAGATTGACCAAAGAAGAAATGTACTACTAGCATTGCTAACCTTTGAAGAAAAACAACATTACATAAGATCAGGTTGAGCAATGAAGAATCATACCATCAGTAATGTTAACATTTGAAGAAAAACACCCAAGAAAATCTATTAAGAATAAGAATCTATACATACCATGTCACAAATGTGGTAAGTAGGGTCTTTTCACCTTAGTTTCTCCCTTTAATATAAAAAGTACTAACTGGAATAGAAATGTTCAACTCATATAAAGGTAAACATGAACTTCAAAAGACATAATAAAAGGCAGATGGGTCTCACCTTCTGAACACCTTTTTCTTTTTTAACCAGATACCATTTATAGTTTCTCGAACACTCTGCCTTTTGCATATGCTTGCACATGTGTGAATATATGTTAAAAATAAATTCCTAGGGAAGGAACATTATAGCAAAGCATACTTTTATTTGTGGTGTTATACATAAGAGTATATAATATGAATTATGGATTGTGTCAAACTATCTGCCTAAGAGGCACTAATTTAAATGTTTTTCTTTTTTAATTTATTTGGGGGGGGCAGCTCAGCCCACCAGGGGGCGGGGCTGGCTGGCATGTGGTGCTGGGGCATTGAACCGTGGTCCCTGTGCTTTGCTAGGCTTGTTCTAAGTAGGTGCTTTAGATCACTGAGCCATCTCACCAGCCCAAGAGGCACTAATATATACACCCACCTTTCAGAACTGTTCAAATTGTGACTAGTAGTTACAGTGGAATTTACATTTTACAGCCTGGCGTATATGTGTTTCACCAACAATGGTAAACACAGTCAAGTGTGGTTGACACACACCTGCGAACACCATACTCAGGAGGCTGAGGCAGGAGAATCTACAAGTTTGTGGCCAGCCTGGGCCATGTAATGAGTTCAAGGTAAGTGAGACTCTGCCTCCAAAAAAAAGTAAACACGAAGGGCAGAATATTTAAATCAAGGAAGAGAGGAATTAGCAAAAATGAGTATAAGCTTTAGAAGAATGCAAAGTATAAAACATGAGGGTGAAAGAGTCAGCTTATCTATAGGACAGGCACCAATCAAGCTGTCTAAAAGAGCTAACAGGAGATATGGCAAGGTCCAAGCAATATTTCAATACCAAAAAACAATTCTTAGATTTGAAATAGTTATTCTAGAACCCATGTTTCTACACCTTTTTAGCCTGTCTAAAGGTAAAATTAGAATTTAGCTCAAAGATCTCACTTGTCTCTATTTTTTACTCTAGAATAAGACAACATTATATAAGAAAACAGCATGTTACAATGTGCTAACCAGAGGTTAGTTTTACTGCTAGAAAAGGGTTTCAAGAAAGCAGAAATGACAAAGTTACTCTCCTATGTCAGGAGTTACTCTCCTAGGTCAGACAATGGTAGTGCATATGTAATCACAGCTACCTGGGAGGCTGAGGCAGTCATCAAAATCACAAATTCCAGGCCAATCTGAGCAATGCAGAGATACCCTGTCTCAACATTTAAAAAAGGGTGG